GGGCAGTCGCGTATGAAGAAGGCACACCACGAGACCGAGACGAAGATAGCAAGAATAAAGAACCTTCAGATGTACCGGAATTGAGATTAGTATAGAAAAAATTATCTGCCGCGCAGATATACTCAAATACAATACGGAGTAAGAATGTACGGTCACGGAAGGTTTTCTGCCACGCGCCAAGAACCCCGTCATGGGGGACGGGAGGCGGAGGTCTCTGCGGCGAATCTGCGCCATCAAAGCAAGCGCATACGAACATTTTCCAGACCATCTACGGTTCTCTCTCAACTCCCCGCAATACCTTTACGGACATCACACATCTCCTAGGTACGCTCAACATGGCGGACCGAAGACCAGGAGCTGAAGATTATGCCCGCTCAAAGCGTCAAAAGGTCAGCGACACAGACCCTAGCTCCAACCCGTACCTGGCCCACATGTACCCAGATGAAGCCGCCGACGACGGCTACAGTAATGGATATGGCGCGAAGTTGAAGCCTACTGCGAATGGCGATGGACCGTCGGACGGACTCAAGTCTCTGAAAAGGCATGCGACAACAACAGCGCAGGCGACAAAGGCTGAGAATGGACCTGCCAACCCTTTCAATGGCAAGAACCTTTCGGAACGTTACTTTGGCATCTTGAAGACTCGGCGGAATCTGCCAGTTCACGCGCAGAGGTACGAAAAGACACTGTATAACTATCTTGCTGGGCGCATACTGACTCGCCACTAGAGATGAGTTCCTTCAGATGTTTCAGAAGACCCAGATCCTCGTCTTCGTCGGCGAGACTGGTTCTGGTAAGACGACGCAAATCCCACAATTCGTACTCTACGACGACCTTCCACAACAAGAGGGAAAGATGGTAGCATGTACTCAGCCACGTCGTGTCGCAGCAATGTCCGTTGCGCAGCGTGTCGCAGAAGAGATGGATGTTCAGCTTGGAGAGGAGGTCGGTTACAGCATTCGTTTTGAAGATATGACTTCGTCGAAGACCATCCTGAAGTACATGACGGACGGAATGCTCCTTCGTGAAGCTATGAACGACCACAACCTTACCCGCTACAGCACGATCATTCTGGACGAGGCACACGAGCGTACATTGGCTACGGATATCCTTATGGGTTTGCTGAAGGAGGTGGCTGTCAGGAGACCGGATCTCAAGATCATTATCATGTCTGCGACGCTGGACGCGCAGAAGTTCCAGAAGTACTTCATGAATGCTCCCCTCTTGGCCGTGCCTGGTCGCACGCATCCTGTGGAGATCTTCTATACACCAGAGCCAGAGAGGGACTATGTCGAGGCTGCCATTCGGACCGTTTTGCAAATCCATGCCACTGAGCCGGAGGGCGATATCTTATTGTTCTTGACCGGAGAGGAAGAAATTGAAGATGCATGCCGGAAGATCAGCCTGGAAGCGGACGAGATGACCAGAGAAGCTGATGCGGGCCCCATTAAAGTGTACCCACTGTACGGTTCCCTCCCACCAGCTCAGCAGCAGCGCATCTTCGACAAGGCTCCGGCTCCTTTCAGACAAGGTGGCAGGCCAGGCCGGAAGGTTATCGTATCTACCAACATCGCTGAGACATCTCTCACTATTGATGGTATTGTCTACGTCATCGACCCAGGTTTCAGCAAGCAGAAAGTCTACAACCCAAGGATAAGAGTCGAGTCTCTATTGGTCTCACCAATCTCGAAGGCTTCCGCACAGCAGAGAGCCGGCCGTGCAGGTCGTACCAAGCCAGGAAAGTGTTTCCGGCTGTACACCGAGGCTGCGTTCAAGAAGGAGCTCATCGACCAATCCTACCCTGAAGTCCTCCGGTCCAACTTGGCTTCCACCGTACTTGAGCTGAAGAAGCTTGGCATTGACGATTTGGTCCATTTCGATTTGATGGATCCACCTGCACCTGAGACACTCATGCGTGCGCTCGAGGAGCTCAACTACCTGGCGTGTCTGGATGACGAGGGAGAGCTGACTACTCTTGGTCGTCTCGCCTCCGAATTCCCTCTTGACCCTGCTCTTGCAGTCATGCTCATCTCGTCCCCCGAGTTCTATTGCTCGAACGAGATCCTTTCCTTGACCGCCCTGCTTTCCGTTCCCCAGGTCTTCGTCCGGCCCAACAGCGCACGCAAGCGGGCCGACGAGATGAAGGACCTTTTTGCTCACCCCGACGGCGACCACCTTACCATGCTCAACGTGTACCACGCCTTTAAGAGCCCCGCTGCGCAAGAGAATCCCAAGCAGTGGTGTCACGACCACTTCCTCTCCTACCGTGCTCTGCAGCAGGCGGACAATGTGCGTATGCAGCTTCGCCGGATTATGGAGCGCAACGAGCTTGAGCTCATGAGTACACCATTTGAGGACAAGAAGTATTACGAGAACATCCGTCGTGCGCTTGTTTCGGGTTTCTTCATGCAGGTTGCGAAGAAGGATTCCGGTGGCAAGAGTTACGTTACCGTGAAGGATGAGCAGAGCGTGCTGCTACATCCCAGCACCGTGCTGGGCTCGGATGCGGAGTGGGTACTATACAATGAGTTTGTGCTCACTACGAAGAACTACATCAGGACTGTTACGGCGGTCAAGCCGGAGTGGCTGCTGGTAAGTGATAGTTTATTCCCTCTGAATATAATTAGCTGCTAACAAGTTACAGGACATTGCGCCAAACTACTACGATCTTGCTGAGTTCAAGAAGGGCGATGTCAGGACTGCTCTGCAGAGAGCGGCCGACAAGATGAAGCGGAGGGAGCAGCTGAAGAACGCTGGCAAGTAAACGGATACGGACGGGATGTTGTTGCATTTTTGCTTGAGCATGGCGTAATTTGTCCCATAGAGCCCGCAGTGAAAAGGGCATTAGTATTGCTTGCAATAATTGCAAGCCGAATGGAGGCACATCGGCTTGGGTTTAATACCAGCCATTCCACCAACTACCAATTACGAGTCTTGCACCTCGACTACATGTATATCTGTGATGTATATGTAATTACATGTAGGTACCTGTGAATTTACTGCAAAATACATGCGTGGTCGACACCGCCAGTAGCTAAATTGACCATGTGACCACGCGCGTCCTTCGCTCATCAGCTCCGCGTCTTCCCCGCCATATATATACCTATATACTATCTTCTACACCTATTAACTTACATGCAAGGACATTTCAGGGCCGACCATGTTAGCCACGCCACACTAGAACTCCCGAATATATACACAAACACCTCCAACCTTCTGTCGCCCAAGAGGCCAAGCCACACACCATGCCCACACCCCTCGAAGCCGCCCTACAAACCCTCCTCCCAACCCACAACACGCTCCCCTCAGCGCTAACAACCTACGCCACATCCCTCCTTGCCTCCTCCCGCGCCGCAGCACCAACTCTTAAACCCGACGAAGAAATCGGCCGCACCTACGCCTGCGCGCACCTCGCCGCCGAACGACTGAAACTGAAACTAGGGCTCGAAGTCGGGAAACCGAGGCCGCCGGTCCCGCCTAGGGTGTACAAGAAGCTGTATGGATATCTAGATCAGGCGGTTGGAAGTGCGCAGGGGACGCCGAGAACGCCTGGGGGCAGGAAGAGGGATGCTGTTGCTGAGGAGGGCTGGGGTAGTGGAAGGGGTGGAGGGAGTGCGAGGAAGGATGGGGAAGAGGGGACGCCGAGGAGTATGAGGAGGAAGAGTGCGGGGACGCCTACTAGGACGCCTACGAAGACGCCTATGAGGATGCCGGTGGAGGTTGCGAAGGCCAGGGGGACGACGGGGTCGAATGTCTTCGCGGGTACTATGGGCGTGGATAAGGAAGAGCTGGCTGTCCCAAAGTGGACGATGGGCATGATATGGAGAATATGCGACGCGTTCGGTACCCCGTCGGCTGCTGCATACGTTTTTGCTGGTGCGAACAGCGTGTTGGGACTTAGAGGGTACAGCGACGGTGCTATGCAAGCGGGCGCAGGAGCAGCAGAATCACGGAAGCGAAGACGGAGCAGTGCTGCTAGCACTGAGTCTCGGCCTGCAAAGAGGCTACGGACAAAGACTGGCGAGGCTGCTGCAGAGAGCACATCTTCAACAACTGCGGACGACAAGACAATCACTGCAACCCGCGTCCCTGCCCTCCTCGTGGTGCTCTACCTCTACGTCCTCTCGCACCTCGTAGACCAAGAGATTTCAGACACAGACTTCATGATCTGGCGCGCGCAAGCCATTCAAGCGATACGCGGACTCGAAGAGGGCAGAACGCAGACAGACGAGGACCTGATGACTGACATCGACGCATTCATGCATGCGGCCAGGGACGAAGGCTGGTGGGAGCAGGAGTGGTTTGTGAAGATGCCGAAGGGTGGGCTGCAAGTGGGCGAGAACGCTGTTATCCTTGGCGACAACGGGGAAGGTGTCGATGGAGCTAACGCAGGTGCGGAAGATGAAGAGGACCAAGAGGATGAGGGACCGATGACGCCTGCGAGGAAAGGACATGCTAAGACTCCGTTACGCAGGAAGGAGAAGAGGGGGTGGAAGGACGATGCTTGGGAGAGTGCGGCGGGCTTGAAAGCGGGATTGGGCACGATGTTTCAGGATGCTTTTGACTGGCTTAGCGATGAGAGGAGAGCAGACTATAAGAACTGGGAGGCAGAGATCAGAGCGAGGATTGAGCAGATAGAGAGGGACGGGGTTGCGGTTCACGAGGGGGATGTCATGGCTCAGTGAGTGTGGAAGTACCTGGCTAGATAGAAGTAGAAGATACCCAAGCATTCCAAAAGGAAAAGATGTATGCGGCCCTACGCGCATATCATACGGCACTATAACCGGTGTATCATATTCGATTGTACGAAGACCCAGCGCTTGCTTTGTAGACCATGGCTTGTCCAAAGGCTTTGGTATCCGGGGCAGTCCTTAGCATGCATCTAATGAACCCTCAATTCTTCGCAACCGAGCCACGTTTGGATAAAAATTAAAATTTACCTGTGTACACACTTCGGCAGGCCATATGTGGTATTGGAATGCAAAAGTGCAAAACTTGACTACCCTATGTGAGATTCGAACTCACGACTTTCGCATATCTCGTCCCTTTCGGGAAGAATATAAGAACGACACGCTAAGCCACTGCGTCAATAGGGTTTCGACTAAAAATCTGGCATAGTCAAGCTTATATCCCGATGGGCCAAATGTCTCAGCTTTCAAGCGCAACTTCGAATCACATGCAAGTTGGGGTTCCTGCCTGGACTTCTTCACCTCGAGATATTTGCCCTGAGTCCCAAAGATGCGCAATATACTGTACACAAGACCGGGAAAATACAGAATTAGAAAGAGCGGCAAATGCATAGAAGCCTCCGACCGCCTCATTATGGCTTTACGGAGACCAATCGTCCTGAAATTCGAAGCCGTGAATATAAGATCTATGACCCGTCCTCATGCGGCGCCGTTCTGTGCCTCCCTGTCCTCCACTTCCCCAATAACACCTTCTGCATTCGCAGCCTGATCGTTAACAGCAATCTCATTGACGGCCTCCTCTTTCTTCTTCTTCCTCAAGATCGCCACACCCTCCACATGTCCCGTCTGCGGAAAGAAATCGAAACCCCTCAAGCTCTCAATCTCATACATTCCCTTTCCGCCATTTGCACCCTCAATACCACCGACCAACGAACCCACGTCCCTTGCCTGAGTATGAACGTTACAGCTCACATAGCACACCCGCTCTGGGCCGAAGTTCACCAACTGCCGTAGGAAATTCTCATCGCATCCCTTGCGGCTGGGATCCAGTACGACCGCTGTTTCAGAGGCGGGGAAACTAATCTCGGCGAAGAGGTTGTTTGCGTCACCAGCGAGGAAGCGCGCTGAGGATGGTGGGATGTTATTCAGAGCCGCGTTCTTCGACGCCTGCTCAATAGACTGGGAGGAGATGTCGATGCCGATGCTGTTCTTGAACAGCGGGGAGAGAGTGATGGTGAAGAGGCCGCTTCCAGAGTATGCGTCAATGAGGTTCGTGATCTTCTTGTCTGGATTGGCGCCCAGAATGTGGTCGCGCACGTATTGGGTGAAAGGGGGAAGGATAGAGTTGTTGTTCTGGAAGAATGATCCGGCCGGGTTGTCAAAGCGGTAGTCGTCAACGTATTCGGTAGAGATGGCGCGGGAGTCAGTGATGCAGGTCTTGCGATGAATGTGGTCGCCACGGTCTTCGAGAACCGCGTCGTCTTGGGCTGGCGCTGCGGCTTGCTCCTTTTGATCTTGCTCCTCTGCCGCTCCGGTATCACTGGCGCCATTGACAGCGGCCTTGGGTAACCGCTCCGTACTCTCTCGTAGCAGTAGTGTTGCACCCCTCTGGTATTTGTCCAATTCGACCTTAACTCGTGCTCGCTCTTTCTTCATACCCATGCGCACAGCCTCAGTTCCAATTGGACAATCCTCGATGTCCATCGTCTTCCTCGTGCCTTTCAGCATGTATCCAATTGGCGGCACTTGATCCCACACTGGCTTATTTCCATGCCTTCTCTCTTTCCTCGCATTAGGTGGCCCATCGAAGTGAGGTGTGAGCTTGGTCCTGTATCCGTACTGCAGCGGCGAACCAATCGTGTCCCCAACAGCAGGGACTAGAGAGGCAGGTAGGTCGGAAAAATTGCGGTAGGCCTTTTCGACGATGGTCTTCTTGTGCGCTAATTGGTAGGAATATGGCAGCATCTGGAATTGGCATCCGGAGCATCTTGAGAAGTAAGGACATTGTACGAGGCTTTGGTCTCTATCCTTGGAGGGAGACACAACCTTGACGAAGTCGGTTAGGGTGTAATTGCTGTCTTGAAGGTGTTTGATGAGCTTGACGGTCACTGTGTCGCCTGGCGCCGTAAATGGTACGACAGCAACCTGCTGGGTGCCCGGAATAAGGGCAAGGCCGTCGCCAGTCGAGGAGAGTTCTGTGATAGTAACATCCATCTCGGTAAAGGTCTCAGGTAGCGTTGTTTCATTCTCTTCCGCAGTCGCCACCTCGGGCGCAGCGCTTATAGAATGTTTCTCCAGCAATGCCCGTACGTCTGCGATCAGGACCTCTTCGTTGGATCCCTCCTTGACCGTACTCTCCTTCTTCTGCTTCTTGTTCTTCTTGAAGTGTCGGCGGCCCTCATTGAACTGCCTCTTTTTCCCAGCCTGCGCGTTTTTCGAGACTGGTCCTTCCGGAGCAGCCATTATAATTCTTGAAGCGACAGAGACCACACTAGGCCTCCAAAATGTCCGCGAAAGGGAAGGTAGCAGACGAGATGCGAGCATTGAACGAGAAATAAATTGTCGATCGAGGCGGGAGTGAGTGGTCAGCACTCCGCAACGCCAGTCTTGGCACATTTTCCGACTTTCGAAACCAACGCCGACACCGTCGCCAGCTCTCCCTGCAGCAGCAATACCTCCCCCAATCGCCCACCCCCTCCGCCGCCAGACGAGGTTCGGGGAACCCAAATATCACAGTCATGAACGCCGCCAAATCGACAAGATGTCTTTTCTGCAAGGTCCTCCCCGAGGCTGCGCCAAAAGCCCAACCCGTGCGGCGGCGCAAATTCCACAGCAGCGCACCCACTGCCGCCCGGGGCAAGCCTGCATACCCAAACGTCAAGGCGGTCGACTTGGGACTTATCCAGAAGCGGATTGACGAGACTGCCACCGGCTTCAAGCCATACACCGCCCGGGAGAAGCAGCTTCTGGCTCTCAAATACACCCCCGAACAGCTCCGCGCTATCGAAGCCGGTGAGCGGGCCATCGACCCCAAGGACCTGGCTGCCCAGAGCAGAGTCCGCACCGACACAATGGGAGCCATTGACTATCTGGACGACATGTCCAAGATTCACCCCTTCATTGACAAGCCGGTCCGAGCACCGGACTCACACATCGATCCAAAGATCAGACCACGCACTCAGGACGAGCTGCTGACGCGGTTCGCGAACTTCCACAAGAGTCTGGAAGAGCGACAGCGAGCGCACATGGAGAAGGAGGAGAGTATGACAGAGGAGCAGCAGGGCGAGGAGATCATGAAGTTGTGCGCTGAGAAGGGAGTCTACCCCGGCGATGGACTGGAACCACGAGAGAGGATGGCGCGGTTGAAAGCGATTGCGGAGGCTTGGGAGGGACCAGATGCGATGGTTGAGTGGAGCCGATTCATCAGCAATGCGGACAACTTCTTCCACTCGCCCAAGGGCAAGATCAACAGCCAGAGCGATTCTCTGGCACCAGCTGTCCCGAAGTTCAAGACACCGGGAATCAGATACACGAATGAAGAGGAGGATCCGCATATGGAGCGTCTGTGCCAGCAAACAGGAATGACCAAGGAGGACATCAGGAAGATCAGGATTAAGAACTTGGTTGCGCATCGTGTGGTGAACCAGACGAGGATGGGCAAGATCCAGAGTCTGTACTGGCTTACTATTGCGGGCAACGAGAACGGAATGTTGGGGATTGGAGAGGGCAAGGCGGCGGAAAGTGAGGATGGTATGAGGCAGGCTATGATGGCTGCCATCAGGAACATGAAACCGATCCCGAGATACGAGAACAGAACGATCTTTGGAGAGGTGGAGGGTAAGGTCGGTGCCAGTGTTGTACAGCTTTCTTCAAGACCACCAGGTACGTATCTTCCCAAGCACTATCTCATACAGAATTCCTACTAACACCTCCTTTCCAGGGTTCGGCAACCGCTGCCAACATCTGATCTACGAAATGGCGCGTGCGGCAGGTATCCACGATCTCTCAGCACGCACGCCAAGATCACGCAACAAGATGAACGTCGTCAAAGCCGCCTACGAGGCGCTCATGAGCCAAAAGCTGCCAGAAGATGTTGCGCGCGCAAGAGGACGGAAGTTGGTCGATGTGAGGAAGGTCTACTACCAGGGCCAGGTGTACTAGAAGAGGGTCGATAAGTTGACGATTGTGGCGGGGAATGTATCATTATGTATAGTTAGGTATATGAGCTGCTACAGCCCATTGCATCGCATAGCATAGGCGTACGGACAGGCGAGAGCGGACCTGTCGAGGGGTATAAAAATCACATCCTGCTCCCATCATTCTCTTGCTTGCTCAATAGATTTTCCCTCCCGAAAGCGTCCCATGACGCAAAACCAGCCCAGATACCAGACGACCCACAAACCCCAATACTCCCTTACGAACACCCTAATCCCCTCACAGCCGAGTCGTAACCTAACAATCACGGACTTCCCTCCTGTGCAGCGCCCTCGTCCGAAAATATCTCCTGCTGCAGCACAATGCTATACACACTAGCCTTAAGCAACGTAAACACCGTCGTCGTTTTCCGCTCCAGACCTCTCAGCGCGTCGAGAATCTCCGCGCTTGGACGCGAGGCCAAGTCTGCGAGGATGTTTGAGAGCTGTGACATGTCAGAAGCAGAAGGGATACATCCAACGCGTAGAATAGAGCTGAACTTGAACAGGTAAAAGGGGAAAGTGAAAGAGTGAGACATGAGCAGATCAGGTAGGAGATGAGGGGTGATGCGAATTGAGATTGGAGAAGTGATCCGTACAGCAGAAAGCGAAGAGACGAGAATGGAGAGTAACACATACATCACCCAGATTCCCCGCTAGTCGTGAATACTCATCCAAGACCTCCTGCTCCAGCGGCGACAAACTGTCTTCTCCGTTTGCGGGGCTGCGATGCGTGGCGGACATGCCCAGGGCATTAGTCGATGGTGTCGATGACATTGTGCCGTTACTTGTACGATTGAGCTGCGCACGATGTGGAAGATACTCTGGATGATGTGACGTGGAGGTTATGTGGTTGGATGTCCCGCAAAGGACGGTAGTCGATCAAAGTAAGGTATAGTCCTGTATAAGGTATGTGCTCTGTTGCGCCAGCAGACGCGCTCTCGCGTTTGGGGAAGGAGGTGCGGAAATGCTTGGCATGGCTCTCCTCTCCAACCAGTAGCAGCAGCATCTTTCCCAGGGCAGAGAATACACGCGAGACACAAGCGATTTGACAGACACTTCGAGGGACACGTGAGATAGAATAGGCATGGATTTCACATTTCGTCTCTCTCATTCGCATCAGCATCAGCATCATCAATTTTAGCCCCTCCCATCAAAAACCAAAGTAAAAGGTGCGCCCTCAAGTGCATACACAGTTGTCCTTTCCCTGCATCT